CATATTGCCGTTTTTCATTCGCTTGATTTTGAACCACTACCACGCTGGAGGGATATCGAGAAACCGCCCCTTGATGGTCCACCACAAAGTAAAATACCCTGTATCAAATCGAAAGAACTAGATAATCAACCACATTATATTGGATTTCATACCACCGATCCAGATGCGGCTGTTTCCATTGCGCACAGTGAATTTCGGACAGGTACTTGCGGATGGATTGGCGCTGGTGCATACTTTGCTCGGTCAGTTAAAGCCACTTGGAGAAAAGCTAAAAGCGATGGTGGTGCTCATATTATCGCTGAAATTAGAATGGGTAGAGTCTATGAAGTAGAACGCGACGTCATAACGAAAGGTCACTCAAGATTCGATCCGAAAATCTATGACTATGCTCATCATTCCAAATGGCATGCTGACTATGATACATGTTACATGCTCCAGGATCCGTCGAGTGGAGATGAGTTTGCTATAAAAGATCCTGCTAAGCAAATTGTCAAATGGGTTATAGTTGTTGAACCAGATTTCGATCCCAAGGTGGAAAAATATGGACTTTGGAATGAATTCGAACTGACGAGGTGTGGATGTATTTAAAGGTGAAAATAAGAACTCTATTTGTCACCACACTCAATACGTTGAACTGTGTGAGAATGCGATTTTTGCTGAATGATAAATTCAGAAATAATGCTCTATCGCTCTACCTTTCATGATTCCATAGCTAAGACAAAAATTGAGAGCATTCAAATTCAATGAAATTCATCAGCAACATGTAAGATGTGCTTTCGTCAGTATTACGATATCAATTTTGTGTGTGTGTTCTGTGAAAGAAATATAACTAAATAAAGAGAATGCGAAACGCTGTGTCATTAGTCGATACAGTGTGCATCAACAATTTTATATTGGAAGTTTCTACGACAAAAAAAAGAACAAAGAGTGCGAATAAAGTTATGAAGCAAACAATTCAAGTATTTAAAGATCATTTAGTTCATAGGAATATAAACGAAAATCGTAAAGTCTTCAAGTGCACCTGCAGAATATGCATGAACGGCCATTGCTTGAGAATAAGTGAAGATTATGGTGTTTTTCATATGACATGCTCGAATCTCTCATATCAAGTAAAACAGCGAGTGATGAACTACTAATTGCTTGAACATGCGACATGTTCCTTAGGAAACTATTATAATTTGGACAGCCATTCAGCGCCAGAAAATTATTCGTATGAGGACCTAAATGAACATGTATAGTTAAAGACGAGAAAGCAGACGATGAATTTGATCCTATCTGCATCAAATGTATAATGAACGACAAGTGCTGCACCTTCCTCACCCTCAAGCCTCCAATAAACAACGACGTATTGCTGGAATCGGCATATGTACCTGATTGACTGTTGCGATACAACTTAATACATCGTTAATGTAAATGAGTTATTTTTGATTCTGTGTATCGTGTACGAAGGCAAGGTGTATTCAAGTATTTATCGATAGAGTAATGTTCGCAACGCACTTACCACCGCCATAGAACCACATCGTGGGTTTTCCAAAACTAAGAACAAGATTTTAACATTGAAATGATACATTACCCGATATCTACGATGGTCATGGCAAACATATAATGTCGTTTTACTTCCGAAGTCGTCCGCTGCGTATATCCACTGTTGTAGCAAAAATAGGAAATAAAGCAAAGATCAACATACAGATGACAGTTCACGCGTAAATGACTCAACTGAATAATGAACGAATTTTAGCTCGAATCGTACGTATTCAACAGACAAATTTTCTCCTTTTAGAAGTGTTAAAAAACTGTCTTTTTTTCATTATCGAATAATGGTAATTGAATGAAATAACGTATTGACACCTATCGACGCGAATATTACTTGCAATACGCACATTCTTCTTTTTCCCCGTTGATGGTTAAATGAGACATTTGAAAAGATATTTAAAAAAGCTCAGTATGAAGGTGCAACAGCACTAATGACATTTTAGAAAGAAACAATGTGGAGATTAGTTATATTTCTAGTAACAGTGTTGTCCGTTGATTGTGTTGTGATAGGTCAAATTCAAGACGCACAACTAATTGGGGATGATAATGAAGTATGGTTCAATCAAACACGCGAGCAATGCATTTGTGAAATGATGAAATCCAATGGACTGATTCTAGCACTTAATTACTTCGTCACCAATGGAACATGCCAATTCTTTTCCTTGAATGCGACTAACATTCGTATGGAATTCTATATGGACTGTTTAGTAATCTATGTAAATCAATCAGCTATATTGGATATGTTCCGTAAGTTGTTTTGTCAAATCGATTCGAAGATTTACTTTCTCTGGAGTAGAATCAACAACTTCGACGCTTCCATCTACTACAACAACTCAAACAGGTTAGTATCTAGCAGTGCACGGCACGTGGTTACATAAAGAGAGAAACCTCAAAGTTGTATATGCGATTTGCTTGTCTAGGATGGATAAGAACGGGAGATATGACAGTTCCACGAAGCTCCCATTCAGCATCTGTTCTATCGAACGGACAACTGCTAGTCGCTGGCGGTAACAGTCAAGGTGTTTACCTTAGTAATGCTGAACTGTATGATCCGTCAACAGGATTGTGGACTCTTACAGGTAGTATGAATGTTGCACGTTCGTCTCATAAAACCGTCGTATTATCAAATGGAAATGTACTAGCTACTGGCGGATATACGGGCACAAATTATCTCAGCAGTGCTGAATTATATGATGCTTCGACTGGAACATGGACATACACAGGCAATATGAATGTTGCACGATATGGTCATGGTATATCTTTATTGCTCAATGGAAAAGTTTTCGTTTTTGGTGGGTTTACAGGTAGTGTGTATACCAATACCGCGGAATTATATGATCCCGCCAATGGGATATGGACCAATACAGGAAGTATGAGCATCGCACGTTACTTTCCTCCAGCATCTATATTTTCCAATGGAAAAGTATTAGTTAGTGGCGGACATACAGGCAGCTTTTATACTAACACTGCTGAATTGTATGACTCTACGACTGGAACATGGACAAACACGGGAAGTATGAATTTTGCACGGTATGGTCATACATTATCGATGTCATTGAATGGAGCAGTGCTAGCTGTCGGTGGAATCGACAACAGTGGTTATTATGAAAGTGCAGCGGAATTATATAATTCTTCAACAGGCATTTGGATAGTAACTGGAAGTATGAGTAGTACTCGATTTGGTCATAAGGCGTTAGAATTGACTAATGGGAAAGTGATGGTTATTGGTGGTAGAAATGACATCTCTTCAGCTCTAAACAGTGCAGAAGTATACAGTCCGTCGACTAGTGATTGGAGAACGATTGAAAATTTGACTGTTGCACGCATGTATCACTCAGCATGTTTATTATCTAATGGAATTATACATGTTAGTGGCGGACAACTTAATGGAGACTACACTAATACTGTTGAAGTCCACTATTAAAAAATAATTCACAAAATTCTTTTCGATATATTTCAAGCTAATTATGTAATCAGACTAACGCTTTAGTAAATTTGTCATCAATCAGAAAGAAATACAAAATACACCCATAGTCTCGTTTTGAGAAAATGAAGTGCTCTAGACATTCTTTTAGGCACTGAATCATTCACATACACCATGATGAATACACAAATTCGTTAGTTAATAGATTGGTGGGTATCGCAAACGAGTCGGTGAGAAGTGAATACTAACTGTTGAAAAGCAAACAATGGTGGTATATGGGTGTGATTATCGATATTTCATTATTCCTATTTCTCAGTAAAATTCAAAAAGAAACATTTGTCTTTATGTCGATCAACTCCTTGCTTAGCACTCAGTAGAATCGGTAATTATTACAAAGCTATTAGAAATGTTCACAGAGCAATGAAATTATATGGCGTGATGGTCGTGAATATAATTTAGCAATTGTTCTCAGTCATATTTTCACAATTGATTTTTAAGAAATCACAATTACAAAAAATGCTTCATTGAACAAATGTATCGCTGCTCGAGATCTTCTTTATCGAATGAAATTTCATATTGTTAAGAAAGTTCGTTACCTTTCTGCTGAATAATTTTACTTGACAACATGCGAAATGGATGAGGAGGAAATACGTATAACAATTGTATTCAATTAATTATCTAATTTATCTTTTTAAACAGGAAAAGGTAGAAAAAGCGTTGAATATTCTTCCATATTCATTGCAAATCATTATTTGAAAAACTCTTTCTTGAATAAATCGAGAAAATTTTATTTAAACACACTTCTATTACTAAAACTCTGATGATTATTTATCGATTCGTCAAGTCCGCGCTCTTTTTCTATTTGATTGCTTTCGATTTGTTCTATGTTGACGAAGCATTTGCAAAAAAAAGTACATTACGATAATGTCAATGAGAAATTGTCAAGCAAATATTTGTTAACATCATACCCATTCTGAGTAATTACAGACCTCGGAAGAGTTTTTATGAGACGTTACATTTGTTCTCAGTTTAACATTATCAGAGACGTCTAATTAAGAACAAACAATTGATAAGACACATTTAATTCTTCGTATTTCTCTCTAGCAGAAGCTGTAATATCATATCTCTATTTTCTCTGAACTACTATTCAGATCACAAATGATAAAGATATTAGTTTTGAAACAAACTTTGTTTATGTTGGATATTCCGGACAATTCATTGTTTATTTTCGTCAAAAAACGACGCCAATATTTGATTGGCTTCGACTTATTTTTTCAAGAATTTCTTTGAGCAACTCAAATATTATTTCAATGACTTTCTTTTATTGATCAAAATTTAAATAATTTGACAAGAAAATGTAGCTTTTTAGAAATGTTTTTTGTTTTATATTAAAAACTGGTATGTCTGGTAGTTTCAGCTTGAATAAGCGAAGAAGAGTTTTGCCTAGAAATCTTTCAGCGAGAAAACCATTTAGTTTGCTCTCAAATGTTGTTGAAGGGGAGAAAAGTTCATTTGTTGGTCATTTTGTTCATTGTCGATGAAATTTTAGGTAATATTTCGTTATAAAATTTGATTCGAATTACGAAAATGTTGAATTTTCAATTGAGGTTTTTCATACAATCGACCCAGTCTTTCATCTGATTCTCAATGGAATCCAAATGGAACAACAATTGTGAATGAAACGATGATTGGAACAAATGTGTTTGATTTGTTTATTGATGAAAACAATACAATTTACATTTCGAATGATCGAAATGGGCAAATTTTGATTTTTGCACAAGGAAATGTGAGTTTGATTGGAAATATTTCAATGAATTTGCAGAATTCGTCAAGTTTATTTGTGACAAAAGAAGAGAAGATTTATGTTGATACATTTTATTCATCGAATGCGAGTGTTGTAAGTGAAATCGAAGCGAATTCATCATCATCGATAGTGAATTCGATTTTACGAATGAACATTTGTTACCAATGTTTTGATATTTTTGTGAGTGAAAATCAAACTCTCCTTTGTTCGTTATCTCAACAACATCAGATCATTTCCACATCATTACTCAATCAATGGGACTACCTGTCAACTGTTGCAGGAACAGGAAGTGAAGGATCAACATTAACAACGCTTCGATATCCTCATGGAATATTTCTCGATGAAAATAATTCAAGTTTATTTGTTGCTGATTGTGGCAACGATCGAATACAAAAATTCTACTTCGGTTCATTTCAGGGCGAAACAATTCTTTCGAATCAAGCATTTCAACTAAATTGTCCCAGTGGAATTACATTGGATAATCAAGGTTTTATATTTGTTGTTGATTCCAACAATCATCGAATTGTTGGACAAAATTCTAATGGTTTTCGTTGTTTGATCGGATGTAATCAATCAGCAGGATCAAATCCAAATCAATTGGGTTTTCCAACTAGTCTTCACTTTGATTCATTTGGAAATCTTTTTGTTGTTGATCAACAAAATCATCGAATTCAAAAATTTGATTTAATCATCTATCCAAGACGTAAGTTCAATTGGAAATTTTCCAACAGTTCGTGAAAAAGTAGAAAAAGTTCTTTATTTCTCAAAGAAAACTCCGTTATTGTAGTTTAATTTTAATTGGGACGGTGTTAATAAGAAAAAAGATATTTCAGTTTGCCTTTGTTTCGTTTAGAATGGAAATTAACGGGAAATATGAATGTTGCACGATTTTCACATACAACATCGATTTTGTCAAATGGAAAAGTCTTGGTTACCGGCGGAAACAGTAGTACTGTTTCTCTGAATAGTGCTGAATTGTATGAAGTATCAACAGGCAATTGGACAATGACTGGGAATATGAGTGTTGCACGATACCGACATACAGCATCAATTTTATCAGATGGAAAAGTCTTAGTCACTGGTGGGGAGAATGGTGGTATCTATCTGAACAGTGCTGAATTGTATGACCCATCAACAAGTAATTGGACAAGAACTGGAAGTATGAGTATTGCACGAGACTTGCATAGAGCATCGCTTTTATCAGATGGAAAAATCTTAGTCACTGGCGGAGAGACCAATGGTGTTGCTTATATAAACAGTGCTGAATTATATGATCCAATAGCTGGCAATTGGACAAAAACCGGAGATATGAATGTTGCACGAGAATTACATACAGTATCGGTTTTGTCAAATGGAAAAGTCTTAGTCACTGGTGGATACAATGGCGGCACTCTAAATAGTGCTGAATTGTATGATCCATTAACAGGCAATTGGACAATGATTGGATATATGAATGTTACACGTTATCGACATACAGCATCGATGTTATCAGATGGAAAAGTCTTAATTACTGGCGGATACAATGGCGGCACTCTAAATAGTGCTGAATTGTATGATCCATTAACAGGCAATTGGACAATGACTGGATATATGAGTGTTCCACGATGTCAACACACAGCATCGACATTATCAGATGGAAAAGTCTTAGTTACTGGTGGATGGAGCGTTGCTGCTTATGTAAATAGTGCTGAGTTGTATGATCCACTAACAGGCAATTGGACAACAGCTGGGAATATGAGCGTTGCGCGAGGATATCATGCAGCATCAGTTTTATCCAATAAGACAATATTAGTGACAGGTGGATGCTGTTCTCTCAACAGTGCTGAGCTGTATTGATCGAAAAAGATGTTGAACATGTGTGAAGAATGACAAAATATGTGTTGAACTGAAAAACGAGGCAAAATGAAGTTGAAAAAAAAAGAGATTCTGTTGAGTTTTTGAGTAAATGTTTGTGGGAAGAAGAGAAAAAAAAAATTTTGACAAACGAAGAAAATGTTTCAAAGGGTCTATTTTTTGTATTTTAATTTTCAACGAAATGAAAATAAAAAATTGAAGCGAATAAATATAATCTCGATGATTTGACGAGAAATATTTGAATGGATGAAGGTTAAAAAAAGCAAAAAAAGAGTCACTTGAAAATGAGGAATTGTTGGCAAAAATTTTCAATTTTAGTATAAAAACAACAAAAGAGATTCTGTTTTTCTCTTTTTGACGAAAAGAATTGAGAAGAAAATCGATTTAAATTTCAATCCGATGATCAATGTTGATCATTTGAAAGCAAATCTGTCGATGGTTTTCGATCAGATGGAAACGAAATTCATTTCCAATGTTGTCAGCGACGATAGTTTTGACAGATGAATCGAAGATCTTTTATTTTCAAAAAGTTTTATCCTTTGATGGTTGAAAAAATTTGCTTATATCATACAAATAATTCATTTTCCTTTTCTTTTATTAATCAAACAAATTGTTTCGATAGACTTTTAAGTGCAGAAGCTTTTCGTTTTGTCATTCTCATAACAATAAAGAAAGCAGGACAAAATCTTGACGGGAAGAAAGGATTATCATTTATCTTTGTCGATATCACAAACATATAGATCTTCAATAATTCTTCTCAATAAAATGCAAGATCGTTTGCAAACACTGGATAAGATTTCATTAGCTATTCTGAAAAAGAAAAGCTCGTAGTTCAACTAAAACTCGAAATGCGATTGATCTTCATCGTCTTCGTTATTCCATTTTAATTTATATTGAGACTCGTTTAAATTGAATTCCAAAATATAATTCCTATATTTATTATGAAAATAATCAAATTTTAAGTATCGAAAAGTATCCAATGAAACCCGTCTAAATACGGATTTTACCGTCGAATGTCTAAAAATTGGTCTGATGTGAATTATTCGGATCATCATCGAGATCAATGTTAATCTCTTGAGGACGAAAGACGCATATGTGCGCGTATAACTTTGAATCCATTCCTACCTGATCTATACGTACCTTTTATTTTGATATTATGGTGTAGCCCAGTACACAAGCCATTTATATATTTCACTGCTATCCATAATGTGATAGCAGTCATCACTTTTTCCTTTTCACGTACATCTAACACTCTTATTTTCTTTCCTGACGTCATTTATTGTTTTCGTCACGGTAACATCGTTCTCAGGGATTAAAATTGATTTGATTGGCGAATAGCGAAAGCTAGAAGTCAGTTACGGACGTGGATTGTTGCCCTATGCACCACCAGACATAGGTTAGAACGTTAATTTGATTGATGAAGTGTTCTCTGATAAAATGAAAATGCAGTACTCATATTTTGGCTTTCTAGAGAAATCTCAGGTCCATTGAGCAATGACGAATTGAGTCGGCTACTTGTCGGCGAAACGGAAGAGTTGCTCATCGAGATCATGCATTGTTCGCTTATAACGCCTTAGTTGATAACATCAATGATCCTTGATGAAATGGATTGACTCGTTTCAAACAGTGCTCAACAATCGAAAGTTGATAGTACCAGTATTATGCTTTTTCACATTGAAGAAATGAAAGATATTCTAAATTTGATTGTACTCGATGCATCTAGTCGTCGAAATACTATGGATGTAGCATTTTTACATCGTATACAAGGAAAATGTTTTGTAGGTCGAGCATTGCCTAAAAATTCGTGAAAAGATGCTTCTACCATTACTACTTCAAGATTCACGTGTATTCACTAGTCAATACATTAACCTTCTTGTTCGAGTAACTACGAATTTCAGTGGCGCTGCCGTAGCAAGTCTTCGATCGTATACTGTTGTCACTACGAAACAAAGTTAACATTCATACCACTGGCTGAGCAGTCTTCTCACATTAGCCGGTGGCATTGCACATGAGTATAGCTGTTGGTTTAGTGCAGAAATATTCTCTAGTATTTTTCGACGTTTTATAACCACAAACTCCATCGACAATTTAAATGAGTATTCTCTTCAATTGGACCGACATGTACCATCTGGCCGTGTTCTTCTTGACTTAGCTGATCGGAAATGCATCATTGAATTGGCCAATGATAGCGTATCACCTGATGTACCTTTGCAGTAGCAAGAAAGATAAACTTTAACATTACTTTCTCGTTTCATTTATGGTTGTTCAGGTTGTAGTGTTGATACAATTCAAATAATTGATCTAAATTTTCTAAGAAAAAACAATGCATTTCAAGACCATCAAATCTTTGAAATATTAGCTACATTATTCATCGGTAAGTATATGATCTTGTACAAAACAATGACATTGTCAGTTCATTTTAGAATGCGAAGAATACTACGGATCAATGCTGATCTTTGATAATGATTCATTAATAATGTTTGATGCAACCGATTCGGCAATGTCGAAATCAAAATGTATTTCAAATGCATCTATATCAATTCACTCGTGAGAAATGTAAAGCTGCTGTTGTTGAATAGAAGAAAGACATAAATAACGTAAACGAATATTATCAAGAAAACATATTGCCATTTTCATAAACTGATTTCTCTCTTAATCAGGAACTTTCTATCAACCGAGAGCAAAATGGATAGTGATGATAGTAAAAAGTCCTTTTCTGCCTATCCGACCCACTGGTGATATTGATGTAAAGTCATAACAAACGCAGAAATACAAGCAAAGAATGGCTTGGTGAAGAAATGCCAACAAAATTATATACCATCAAAGACTACTCGTGGTTATTGTTATTATTACGATGCGTATGTGCATTATGTTGAGAAGAAACAGAAATTAACTCGTGAATAAGCACAGGCGATAATACAAAAATCTGAATTAGCAGCCTATAAGAATCCCAGCCGTGCACGGAAACAGTCACCAAGATTAATGTAGGCTTGCTGTTTGGGTTTCTATGGAATGGATCCACCATGCCAAATCGGAAGTTGTGGTTTACCCGAAGGAGGAGTTCACCAGACTAACGAAGATCTAATACTGCTGGTTCAAAAATATTCTTTGAATAATACAATAGCAGAAGAACGAGTTCGAAGACTTTCTTGATGAACAGACAAATTAACCTGCCTTTGACTTTGTGTGAAATCATAGCATTAAATAAAGGACGAAATTTCTGCGCGTATAACTTTTTCTTTTAAAATAAAAGTGAACCTTCCGAATCACCCTCTTGTTCTCTGAGACATATTTTTTTCTATTCAGTTATTTCCACAGATCTCCCAATATTTCACAAATAATTTATGTTTTTTTACAATTCTCACACAATTTCTATCACATGTAAGATGAGAATAAACCGTCGTGTATATAGAAAATGTGTTCGCATTATGTTTGAAAAAGAAAACCGTTAAACACGTATTACAAAAGAGAGAAAGAATCAGCACGCGTTCGTGACATAAAAATCTCACTTTTTCATTCGGTTAAATACAGACGAATAGTGTTCCATTTAGGCGATCGTATATCGTATGCATGTTGTCAGCAAAAGGAAAAAACCTACATTGTTTGTGTCATTATGTTACATATATAGGTTTCTAACAACTTAGAAAAAACCCATGCTCACTATCTGGAAATTTCCCAACCACGATCATATATAACCCGACGTCGTTTACGTTCATATAGATTTTAAAACTAAGCCACCTATTCATTCTACTTCAATGGTAAGTGTCCTTGTCAATATTTTCTTCAGTTGAACACGTTGATCTTCAGTGTTTATAACCATATCATGGCTACACCCAAATGATTGCAAACCATTGTTTCGAATGTTTTTTTTCAATGCTATCAAGCCCGTTTGGTTTACTCCTCTAGGTTTCCTTCATCTTTTAATGCTTAAATATTCATAGTTTTGTCGTATTTACGCACAATCGTAGTGCAATTTCATCGCATAGGAAGTGTTTCTCACTTCTTAGAAATTTCTTTAAACATCTCATATATGCCTTATCGATTTATGGATTTTTCCAAGTATAGTTTGTGCATGGTATATATAATGGCTGCGTTTCATATTTTGTTGTTTCTCATTTACCATTCTTTTCTTATTAGAGGAATTAATCGTAATAAACGGATCTAGGCAAAATTCAAGGAAACACAAACGGATTGCCCAGAGATTCCCGTTAACTTTTGAAAGTCAGAAACCGTTAGGTAAGATTCTAGTAGAATGCAAATGAGCTACGGTTGGAATACAGTGTAATCAAAAGAGTTCGATGGGTTCATTTTGGACTGACTAGTTGAAATAACATAGTTATTCGATCATGATATACGATGGTAAGAGATGGTCCTCGTAGATTACTTCCACACTAATCAATTGCTATCAACGGTTGACTTTTCACTAAGCTATTTTTTGCAGCTGTTGGTGTTCGCCCATAGCAGTCGATAGTCATCAATTCATGAAACTGGCTCTTAATTTTGCACGCAGTTTTCCCTCTTTAGCCTGACTTCTCTCGTATAAACTGAAATGGCGTGGAGCCTATTTTGTATCAACCAATAATTATAGACTTGTGTTTATAATACTTCATATTTATAGAGTCTTTAATTGCTGTTGGTATTTTACTTTTAGATGACTACTACAGACAGAGCAAAAAGAGATTTAGACGACTTTCTTAGAACTAACGAAGGACAAGAAGTGAGTAACACTGGTTTCGCCATAAACGAGAGCAATATCATCAATGTTCTCGTTGTTGGGCGATCACAAACAGGAAAAACAACGTTGATAAAATCATTGATAAATACTATCCATGCTTCTTATGTCACTGGTTTTTCCGATACACGCAACGTTACGCATCATCCGATAATTGTCCGAGATAAAATAACCGATCGATACTATCAAATCAATATGATTGATACGATTGGACTTGATGAACGTTCGCAAGATCCAAACAATAATCGTTCAAATGAAGAAATATTGACATTAGCAGCTAAATTTATTGCAAAAGAAATAACTACATTGAATGCAGTCATTTTTGTTTCTAAAGTGGGTGAATTACACCAACATGATATCTCAACATTTAAATTATTGATCAACTTCCTTGGTCCATCGTTCGAAGCAAATGCAATGATGGTAGTAACTCACTGTGATGGTTTAACAAAAGAACGATTCAATGTCTTAGCTGATGGAATTCGAACGCATTCGCTGAGCAAAGAAATCAGTGATTACTGTACGTTGGGTATTCTTCCGCATGGTACGCTAAATTTCGATCAATTAGAAACATTTACGGGCGAAGAGGAAATGGAGATGAGAAAATATATCATAAAGAAGAAATTACAGATGATTACGCCAATGCGAAAGGATATCCTTCAGTTATTGATTGCACAACATGGAAAGCAACAGCCTGTCCAGCAGTTACAGGAGATAGTAGAAATGGCCAATAAGGAACGAATGCGATTTCTTGAAGACGAAATTAAGAAACGGAACCAAGGCAAATGTATCATTTCATAATTGCCCGTGGGGCTGAAACTATCTTGATAACATCATCGATATCTAGCTGAATAACAATTCTCCTGTAACATTTACTTTTCCAGCACAGTTGAAATCGATACGAAACGCCATTATCATCCTTTGAAACGTTTTTGTTTCATCCATAAAACAATGCCTCCTTCCATTTGCCTGCGCATTATTTTCTTTGTTTGTGTCTACTTTTGTTTTGCCATTCAATGAAATACAATTATTGAACCTTTTTCTCGTATTCTAGATATATCAGTACACATTTCGTCGTGATGTCATTTGATGGTGGCAGAATTCTTGAAGAAGCTGGTGCTAGTACGTTCGGTCAAGATGCAATAAGCTCTATAACAGACCAAATATTAATTCCACTCAAACTAAACAATACCGATGTTCAAGCTAGCGAAGGTAAACTAATCTTAGCACAATATGTAACCCAGATCGAACCCATTTCGATAATAGCGACGGAGATAAAAACAGTAGAAAAAGCGATAACAGCGAAAATAAAAGAGGCTAACACCTTGTTTATAGGTTAGAAGAATGACGGCACAAACAAAGAAATAAGCGATTGAATAAACATAAGGATCAGTCGTTCTACCTCTTTAGGGAATCAAGAATCGATTAAGATCAATCCAACAATTGCTGAACAAGACAGACGGCCTGATCGAGGAACAGACCCTTTCATGCCTCATAGCTTATATACCTCGAGTCAATTCTCAGGCACACGCCCACATATGGCTTCTATCCAGCAGTTTATTCCATCCAGTGTCCCTAGCCGAATTAATGAAGGAGCAACACCAAAAACAGGTTTGTCTACATCGGTACTTCAACCTGAGACGTGATTTGTCTTTTTTCGAAATATCGAATTAGAAACAATAGTTCTTTTCTTTTAAGGCTTAATAAAACGGTATACCGATGAACACACACCCATTCCATCGCCTGGAAATGATAACTTTGATCATAAACGAAAAAATTTAACAAAACCCATTATAGAATGCAATAAATGGTTCGATGCTACAATCACTGCAGATGTACCGTTGAAAGTCTTATCTGTATGCAGCGATAGTAAAATGATACCATTAAACTCTCCTGACATTCGAATTATCCCTTGTTCAGTTAATGCAAAGTTTGAATTATTTATTTCTATTCAGTTAAAAAAAAAAACAACAGTATGTATTCTACGAATCCAAGCTGAAGAGGAATCGTCTCTGATATGGATATGCACATTTCAAAAAGATACAAGCGGAAAAATATATCATGCAATAGGACCAGAAGAAGTAACTACTTCACAAATGAACACCACGCCAAGCGCAAGCAAGTTCATCGGTTTTGACTATTGATTACATTTTAATGTACGGCTTATTTTAGACTCGTATGTCCATGATCCTTCGGTGATTAATATTCTTTTGATCGGACGCTCGCAAGTCGGTAAATCAACACTGATCGAGGCCTTGCGTGATCCTAATTTTAGTGCAATGCGGACTGGGATTTCTCAGACACGCGAACCATCCTATAAACAATTGACAATAACTTCTGAAGACGGAAAAGACTATACATTGAATATTATTGATACCCCAGGTCTCCAAGAGGTTCGACAGGATCCAGATGAGACACGAACCGATGAACAACTTCTTACACTTTTCCGAAATGTTTTCTCAAGCGGTAAAATTCGGGGTCTGAATGTTATCGCTTTTGTTAGTGTTATTGGCAGAACGCATCAAAATGATATAGAAACGTTCAAATCATTGATTGATTTCTTTGGTGAACGTTTCAAAGCGATTTCAACTCTTATTCTTACCCATTGTGATAAAGTATCGCTCGATAGACTTCAAATTTTGATTAAAGATATTGAAGCTCATCCTAAATGCTCTGATATCGTAAACTATTGTACTTTGGGAATCTATCGTCATGGCACGCTTGATATTGATGACTTGGAAACATATGACGAAGAAATGCAAGAGCGCATTAGGAAGTCAACACTAGAACGTCTGGAACCAATGCGTACCGAACTGACAAAATTCTTTTTGTCACGATCGAATAACTATGTAAAAATCACAGAAAGTGACTTTGAGCGATTCAAAAAGCTGACAAAGCATAAAAAAGTATCAAATGAAATGAACGTTCATGGAAGTTCAAGTAACCAACAATTTGTGATGAAAGGTAAATTTCCTTTTGAAATGAACTGTGTATTACTTTGACTAACGAAGATTCATTAATAAATACTCTACTCTATATAGGCTAATAGGAATTCTATTGATGATGGTATTTTGGATGTTTATTTAAAACGTTCTACAAGTGATGATATGAGTAGAAAGCATCCAGGTATGGTGACGACATCACTTACACTGAGAGTTCTCATATACATGCACACATTTCCGTACGTACGCTTGAAGAATAGCCACAATATGTATTCAAACAGTGTCCTTCAGAAGATTACTTTTGGTTTTTCTTCAAATTTCTTCATGTAAGTCGACGGAGGCAAAACAAAAATGAAAAATGTACACGCAACAGGAACAGTAGCCAAGAAGCAAGTGATTGCTGCAATGTAGAATTGCCAACCTGATATAATACATTTCAGAATGAAAATAATCAATAATATAGTCCAGTACGTATCTTTACTATTTTTCTTGGAACCAGAGAATTGAATCAAGAGAGCAATTGCCGAAATGAAATTGAATAAAAACGGTATAATATTGTTCAAAAGATTGAAAATGATCTCGTACGTTTTTAACCATGCATAGCGACGGCGAATCACACACCATAGCCGTGTATCAGATCACGTATCAGAAATTAACGTTCGATTAAAAATCTGGTTGATCGATGTTGAAAGGAGAACAACGGAAAGAATCGGTATGACTTATTTCGCAGTTTTAGTACTTCTCTTCTTATCAAAACAGATTCCTTTCATGACATTGACCGTCCGTTCACATGCAATACATTCTACTGTAAACGATACTAATTTGACTGATCAATAAATAAATGAAACGAACAACGAAAAGTCATAAAGTAATTTGACTTATCAAAGATAAGAGAAATAAATCATGTCCACAGCCGTACTAACGTATTTCCCAAGACGAAAATGTTAATGCTGAACATAGATTTGAAATGGGACCGACGATCAATATAACGATAACAAGAACGAAGAATATTTTCACAGAAATAGGTTGACCTAGAAATGAAACATCACTTCAAATCTCTCCATCGATAATCGAATCCAATGTTAACGAATCAGAAGTCATTGTAATTTGACAAAATTCTCCATGAAAACATTCCGGACAGACACAACTAAACATCGGTCGACCGAATCGTCTACTCTGTAGACATCGACCACCGTTCCCACAATAAACAGTCGGCATCGAGCAATTATTTATACCATGATTAAAACCTGAACAATCCAACACACCTTGTTTGTCGACGAAGCACATATAGTACTCATCATGAAAACATTTGACATGCTGAAAATATTTGTGATAAAGTTTCACACGTCGTAGCCATGTGTAACGATAGAGAGGGGAGGTAATCGGTGTGAAGCTAGCACGAACAAACGATATGTTAGCTAAAAACGTTTTTACTAAATATGTCCCATCCATGAAAAATACACCATTCGACTCAGAATTTAATTCTGCATCGAATGATGGTACTTTTATCCGCCGAACAAACTTTGGAAAAATTTCTATCTATATCTTTGTTCGTTTCCTTTAGGTCTATTCATAAATCAGATAGAATTTTTCCAAAGATTGTTCGGCGGATAAAAGTACCATCATTCGATGCAGAATTAAATTCTGAGTCGAATGGTGTATTTTTCATGGATGGGACATATTTAGTAAAAACGTTTTTAGCTAACATATCGTTTGTTCGTGCTAGCTTCACACNAATGCGATTGATCTTCATCGTCTTCGTTATTCCATTTTAATTTATATTGAGACTCGTTTAAATTGAATTCCAAAATATAATTCCTATATTTATTATGAAAATAATCAAATTTTAAGTATCGAAAAGTATCCAATGAAACCCGTCTAAATACGGATTTTACCGTCGAATGTCTAAAAATTGGTCTGATATGAATTATTCGGATCATCATCGAGATCAATGTTAATCTCTTGAGGACGAAAGACGCATATGTGCGTGTATAACTTTGGATCTATTCCTACCTGATCTATGCATACCTTTTATTTTGATATTATGGTGTAGGCCAGTACACAAACAATTTATATATTTCACTGCCATCCATAATGTGATAGCAGTCATCATTTTTTCCTTGAACGTACATCTAACACTCCTATTTTCTTTCCTGGCGTCATTTATTGTTTTCGTCATAGTAACACCGTCCTCAGAGATAAAAATTGATTTGATTGACGAATAGCGAAAGCTAGAAGTCAGTTACGGACGTGGATTGTTGCCGTATGCACCGCCAGACGCAGGTTAGAACGTTAATTTGATTGATGAACTGTTCTCTGATAAAATGAAAATGTAGTACTCATATTTTGACTTCCTAGAGAAATCTCAAGTTCATTGAGCAATGACGAATTGAATCGACTACTTGTCGGCGAAACGGAAGAACTACTCATCGAGATCATGCATTGTTCGATTATAACACCTTAGTTGATAACATCGAATGATCATTGATGAAATGGATTGACTCGTTCCAAACAGTGCTCAGCAATCGAAAGTTGATAGTATCAGTATTATGCTTTTGCACATTGAAGGAATGAAAGATATTCCAAATTTGATTATGCTCGGTGCAACTAATCGTCGAAATATTATGGATGTAGCATTTTTACATCGTATACAAGGAAAATGTTTTGTAGGTCGACCATCGCCTAAAATTCGCGAAAAGATGCTTCTACCATTACTACTTCAAGATTCACGTGTATTCAGCAGTCAACACATTGACTTTCTTGTTCGAGGAACTACAAATTTCAGTGGCGCTGCCGTAGCAAGTCTTCGATCGGATACTGTTGTCACTACCAAACAAAGTCAACATTCAGACCAATGGCTGAGCATAGTCTTCTCGCATTAGCCGGTGGCATTGCACGTGAGTATAGCTGTCGGTTTAGTGCAGAAATATTCTCTAGTATTTTTCGACATTTTATAACTGCAAACTCCATCGACAATTTAAAAGAGTATTCTCTTCAATTAGACCGACATGTACCATCTGGTCGGGTTCTTGTTGACTTAACTGATCGGAAATGCATCATTGAATTGGCCAATGATAGCGTATCACCTGATTTACCTTTGTAGTAGCAAGAAAGATCAACTTTAATATTACTTTCTCGTTTCATTTATAGTTGTTCAAGTTGTAGTGTTGATACAATTCAAATAATTGATTTAAATTCTCTAACAAAAAAACAATGCATTTTTTCAGGACAGTCAAATCTTTGAACTATTAGCTACATTATTCATCGGTAAGTATATGATCTTGTACAAAACAATGACATTGTCAGTTCATTTTAGAATGCGAAGAATACTATGGATCAATGTTGATCTTTGATAATGATTCATTAATAATGTTTGATGCAACCCATTCGGCAATGTTGAAATCAGCATGCATTTCAAATGCATCTATGTTAATTCACTCGTGAAAAGTGTAAAACTGCTGTTGTTGAATAGAAAAAAGACATAAATAACGTAAGCGAATATTATCAAGAAAATATATTGCCATTTTTTTCATAAACTGATTTCTCTCTTAATCAGGAACTTTCTATCAACTGAGAGCAAAATGGATAGTGATGATAGTAAAAAGTCCTTTTCTGCCTATCCGACTCACTGGTGATATTGATCTAAAGTCATAACAGACGCAGAAATACAAGCAAAGAATGGCTCGGTGAGGGAATGTCAACAAAATTATATACCATCAAAGACTGCTCCTGGCTATTGTTATTATCATGATACGCATGTGTATTATGTTGAGAAGAAACAGAAATTAACTCGCGAATAAGCACAGACGATAATAGAAAAAGCTGAATTAGCAGCGTATAAGAATCCCAGCCGTGCACGGGTACAGTCACCAAGATTAATATAGGCTTGCTGTTTGGGTTTCTATGGAGTAGATTCACCATGTCAAATCGGAAGTTGTAGTTTAACTGAAGGAGGAGTTCACCAGACTAACGAAGATCCAATGCTGCTGGTTCAAAAATATTCTTTGAATAATACAATAGCAGAAGAACGAGTTCGAAGATTTCTTGATGAACAGACAAATTAATCTGCCTTTGACTTTGTGTGAAATCATAGCATTAAATAAAGGACGAAATTTCTGCGCGTATAACTTTTTCTTTCAAAATAAAAGTGAACCTTCCGAATCACCCTCTTGTTCTCTGAGACATATTTTTTTCTATTCAGTTATTTCCACAGATCTCCCAATATTTCACAAATAATTTATGTTTTTNGGACAAGAAGTGAGTAACACTGGTTTCGCCATAAACGAGGGCAATATCATCAATGTTCTCGTTGTTGGACGATCACAAACAGGAAAAACAACGTTGATAAAATCATTGATAAATACTATCCATGCTTCTTATGTCACTGGTTTTTCCGATACACGCAACGTTACGCATCATCCAATAATTGTCCGAGATAAAATAACCGATCGATACTATCAAATCAATATGATTGATACGATTGGACTTGATGAACATTCGCAAGATCCAAACAATAATCGTTCAAATGAAGAAATATTAACACTAGCAGCTAAATTTATTGCAAAAGAAATAACTACATTGAATGCAGTCATTTTTGTTTCTAAAGTGGGTGAATTACACCAGCATGATATCTCAACGTTTAAATTGTTGATTAACTTCCTTGGTCCATCGTTCAAAGCAAATGCAATGATGGTAGTAACTCACTGTGATGGTGTAACAAAAGAACGGTTCAATGTCTTAGCTGATGGAATCCGAACACATTCGCTGAGCAAAGAAATCAGTGATTACTGTACATTGGGTATTCTTCCACATGGTACGCTAAATTTCGATCAATTAGAAACATTTACGGGCGAAGAGGAAGCGGAGATGAGAAAATATATCATAAAGAAGAAATTACAGATGATTACGCCAATGCGAAAGGATATCCTTCAGTTATTGATTGCACAACATGGAAAACAACAGCCTGCCCAGCAGCTACAAGAGATAGTAGAAATGGCCAATAAGGAACGAATGCGATTTCTTGAAGACGAAATTAAGAAACGGAACCAAGGCAAATGTTTCATTTCATAATTGCCCGTGGGGCTGAAACTATCTTGATAACATCATCGATATGTAGCTGAATAACAATTCTCTTGTAACATTTACTTTTCCAGCACAGTTGAAATCGATACGAAACGCCATTATCATCCTTTGAAACGTTTTTGTTTCATCCATAAAACGATGTCTCCTTCCATTTGCCTGCGCATTATTTTCTTTATTTGTATCTACTTTTGTTTTGCCATTCAATGAAATACAATTATTGAACCTTTTTCTCGTATTCTAGATATATCAGTACACAGTTCGTCGTAATGCCATTTCATGTTGGCAGAATTCTTGAAGAAGCTGGTGCTAGTACGTTCGGCCAAGATGCAATAAACTCTACAACAGACCAAACATTAATTCCACTCAAACCAAACAATACCGATTATCAAGCTAGCGAAGGTAAACTAATCTTAGCACAATATGTAACCCAGATCGAACCCATTTCGATAATAGCGACGGAGATAAAAACAGTAGAAAATGCGATAACAGCGAAAATAAAAGAGGCTAACACCTTGTTTATAGGTTAGAAGAATGACGACACAAACAAAGAAATAAGCGATTGAATAAACATAAGGATCAGTTGTTCTACCTCTTTAGGGAATCAAGAATCGATTAAGATCAATCCAGCAATTGCTGAACAAGACAGACGGCCTGATCGAGGAACAGACCCTTTCATGTCTCATAGCTCACAAGCCTCGATTCAATTCTTAGGTACACGCCCATATATGGCTTCTATCCAGCAGTTTATTCCGTCCAGTGTCCCTAGCCGAATTAATGAAGGAGCAACACCAAAAACAGGTTCGTCTACGTCGGTACTTGAACCTGAGACGTGATTTGTCTTTTTTGAAATATCGAATTAAAAACAATAGTTCTTTTCTTTTAAGGCTTAACAGACCAATCTATCGGTGAACATACACCCATTCCATCGCTTGGAAATGATAGCTCTGTTCGTAAACAAAGAATTTTAAGAGAACCCATTATAGAATGCAATAAATGGTTTGCTGTTACAATCACTGCAGACGTACGGTTGAAAGTCTTATCTGTATGCGGCGATAGTAAAACGATACCATTAAACTCTCCTGACATTCGGATTATCCCTAGTTCAGTTAATACAAAGTTTGACTTATTTATTTCTATTGAGAAGAGAAAAAAAACAAAAGCATATATTCTACGAATCCAAGCTGAGGAAGAACCGTTTCTGATATGGATATGCACATTTCAAAACGATACAAGTGGAAATATATCTTATTCAATAGGACCAGAAAAAGTAGCTACTTCACAAATGAACACCACGCCAAGTGCAAGCAAGTTCATCGGTTTTGACTATTGATTATATTTTAATGTACGACTTATTTTAGACTCATATGTCCATGATCCTTTGGTGATTAATATTCTTTTGATCGGACGCTCGCAAGTCGGTAAATCAACACTGATCGAGGCTCTGCGTGATCCTAATTTTAGTGCAATGCGGACTGGGATTTCTCAGACACGCGAACCATCCTATAAACAATTGACGATGACTTCTGAAGACGGAAAAGATTATACATTGAATATTATTGATACCCCAGGTCTCCAAGAGGTTCGACAGGATCCAGACGAGACACGAACCGATGAACAACTCCTTACACTTTTTCGAAATGTTTTCTCAAGCGGTAAAATTCGCGATCTTAATGTTATCGCTTTTGTTAGTGTTATTGGCAGAACGCATCAAAATGATATAGAAACGTTCAAATCATTGATTGATTTCTTTGGTGAACGTTTCAAAGCGATTTCAACTCTTATTCTTACCCATTGTGATAAAGTATCGCTCGATAGACTTCAACTCT